TAAAATTTAAACGTGTTTGATATTACTGTAGCTTATAACCAAGATTTCGACTACAATGTCTTGTCGAAATAGTAAAAGTTAATTATTGCACTATTTTTGTTGTCAAGTACATTCTTTCCTCCTTTTTGAAGGATTTTTATTGCTTTAATGGCCAAAAATTTATCTAACCGATTGTCGGCCAATCTCCCTGAGTTGGTATGAGTTAAAGTTTAGAAATCATCATCATCATCATGAGTGCATCATCAGAATATAGGATTGTTTATAGCGCAGTGGGTACCCAGCTAGGGTAGCGTGCCCAAAGACTGTTTAGAAAATGCCGGTCTACATCATCGTGCAGCTTCGCTTTTCTATCGCCTTTGGCTGGGAGTTGCTTTCACGAAAGCTTATACCACGTTAATTGGAATTACTGACAGTGCGGCGTGCGATGTTTGCGGCACCGACGAAAATATCGAACACCTGCTGTGCCACTGTCCTCGATTTGCCTCAGAGAGACAAGTACTTGCCAACGCAATGCGGCGACTGGATGATCGGCCTCTTTCTGTGCAGGTGCTATTACAGCAACGTCCACATGCCTCGACAGCCCACAAGGCAGTGAAAGCCCTGCTGTGTTTCCTGAGAAAGACAGGCTTGTGTGAACGCCTCTGACATGTGGTAGAGTTCTACTCGCTGCAGTGAAATTACTGTCAGTCTTTCCCCCGCCCTTTTTTCTTTTCCCTTTCTTCCCTCTTTCTCGTCTTTCTTGACCCCTTCCCTAATTCCCCAGTGTAGGGTAGCCAACCGGATGTCTTTCTGGTTAACCTCCCTGCCTTCTCCCTTTTGTTGCTTCCTCCTCCTCCCTGAGAAGCCACTGTTCAAGCTTTCGCTGTGAGTGTGCGGCGCGTTCCACGCAGGTCTGGTGTTTTTTAGAAGGCGCTTTTTGGAACTGACCTGGTGGTTTTGGGACGTTAAACCCCACAAATCAAATCAATCATCATTGGAACTGAACTGTGGTGTATGACACAAAAGCTGCACGACGTCTCGAAGGGGAGGCTGCTTAGTTTACAGCTTTGTAAGAATGAAACTGTGTACGGCCACATGACGAGAGAATACCGAAGTAAACAGCTGATGCTGCATCCGCCTGTAAAAAATCACATCTAAAGTAACTTGATTACATTATTAGGAGTACATGTAAATAAACCATATGAACACATTGCCGCTTGTGTCGTGTCGCACAGTCCAATCTATTACAGCTAATATTGGTGCGGGGAAGGGTAGGTAATGATGGTTCCTTTTTTACGTTTTCTCTCCGCAAAGAAAACCTAGCAAAACTGGGCGTACACAGCACATTGGAAGAAGTGATTCAAGCTCAGTAGACCGCACATATTTCCAGACTCTCGTCTACGACGGCTGAAAGGGGAATCCTGACTAAAGTCGGGCTCAGTCCAACGAGTTCAAAGGATAGGACGATTCAGCTTTCGGATAGTGTGCAACAGGCTATTACAGTCTGCCCTATTCCAAGGAACGTGCATCCAACTTTCAACGCTGGCAGGAGGACGGCTCGCGCCTCCGCGCTTCTGCGGTACGCGCATGCGCATGAGGCAGATTATGTTTTGTAGACGCTGCTCAGTACGAAGGTGACTCCAATCGCTTTGTTGCTAACGTTGTGGACCTAAAGGGACGCGTATTATCAGCCATATTAATCAGCACGTCGTCGGCTTGTAAGGCAGAGCAACTGGCCATCGCACTGGCAATCCTCAGGTCGGACAGAGAAGAGATATTTACGGACTCGAGATAAGCCCTTCGAGCTTTCTCAACTGGGGCTGTTTGTGAGGAAGTTGCTAGGGCACTTGAGGGTAAGGTGCTGACTCATCTCTTCATTACACGGTTCCCGGCACACGAAGGCACCGAGGTAGGGGGGTTGGCCAACGTCAATGAGTTGACCCATGCCCAGGCGCGAGGTCTTGCCGGCCGCACCGGACACTGGGAAGCCGGTGTGCTGGCTGGGACCGATGACGGGCTCGGTCCGACCCTTTTGGAAGCTGACCCACCCCACTTCAGGGACATTCTCTCCACCTTTAACGAGATCACTAGCCACTACCAGATGAGCCGCAGGGCTTTCCCCTTGCCACATCTAAATCTCACGAGGCCTCAGGCCGTGACTCTCAGGCTTCTGCAGACAAAGTCGTATCCCACACTCTCCGTCTTCAGTAGGTACACAGAGGTCTCCCCTCTGTGTCCCGACTTTGGGGCGGTTAGCGACTTTAAGCACATGCTCTGGGCGTGCCCCTCTTTTCAGCAACACACAATCCACAGCTTAACGGAGGAAGCCTTCTCTGCTTTCCTCACGAGCCACGACTGGTTTGACCAACTCCGGTCTGTCCAGAAGGCCCACGATGCGGCAGTGAGGCTTGGCCTCCCTGTCCCAACGTGGGAGCGGCCCACAGTCTTGCCCCTGTAAAACGGGGTGAAGATTCTTCCGGACCGGAATAAGGTTATCTATCTATCTATCTATCTATCTATCTATCTATCTATCTATCTATCTATCTATCTATCTATCTATCTATCTATCTATCTATCTATCTATCTATCTATCTATCTATCTATCTATCTATCTATCTATCTATCTATCTATCTATCTATCTATCTATCTATCTATCTATCTATCTATCTATCTATCTATCTATCTATCTATCTATCTATCTATCTATCTATCTATCTATCTATCTATCTATCTATCTATTTATCTATCTATCTGTCTATCTATCTATCTATCTGTCTATCTATCTGTCTGTCTGTCTATCTGTCTGTCTGTCTCTCTGTCTGTCTGTCTGTCTGTCTGTCTGTCTGTCTGTCTATCTATCTATCTATCTATCTATCTATCTATCTATCTATCTATCTATCTATCTATCTATCTATCTATCTATCTATCTATCTATCTATCTATCTATCTATCTATCTATCTATCTATCTATCTATCTATCTATCTATCTATCTATCTATCTATCTATCTATCTAATCTATCTATCTATCTATCTATCTATCTATCTATCTATCTATCTATCTATCTATCTATCTATCTATCTATCTATCTATCTATCTATCTATCTATCTATCTATCTATCTATCTATCTATCCTGTTAAGGAATGAGGCGTAATTTTGGTAGTTATCATTGAAGCCAATGCTTCCTCCAAGGCAGGCTAGAGATATAAAATAAAGAAACTCTCTGCATGCTCCCACAACCCCATGCATGTTGTCGCTTTGGTGGATAGTTGCTTTCACCTTTTACAAAATCGCCACAAACGCCACGAACGTTTCTTAATTATTTTATCTACAAGTTCTAATATTTTTTGGCAAGAAAAGCACTACGAAGCAAACCATCTTTTTATTAGCTATCTATCTATCTATCTATCTATCTATACAGTTAAGGAATGAGGCGTAATTTTGGTAGTTATCATTGAAGCCAATGCTTCCTCCAAGGCAGGCTAGAGATATAAAATAAAGAAACTCTCTGCATGCTCCCACAACCTCATGCATGTTGTCGCTTTGGTGGATAGTTGCTTTCACCTTTTACAAAATCACCACAAAAGCCACGAACGTTTTTTAATTATTTTATCTACAAGTTCTAATATTTTTTGGCAAGAAAAGCACTACGAAGCAAACCATCCTTTAATTAGGTGCATGGTTATCGAACCTCGTCGGAAATTTGCTTAAAGCGACGATCATCAATGATGATATGGACATAAATGACAAGTTCTGCGAGAAATTTTTCGTGCTTTCTGCCGCTTTTCTTTATGGGGGTGTACGTGAACTGTTTCTAGTAGGCACCGAGAAAAATATAAAGCAAGCGTGAGAGAATAGTTTTTGAACTTCAATAAATATTTGTGGTGTCTTTGAAAGCCGACAGTGTAACACTAAGCTTTCGGATAGCTCTTTATCGCTTTATTTTTCATGTCACCGCTTTGGAGAAGTGCAACTGACTCAACCTGCATATTAACGTGTTAGTACCTTTAATGATTCTATTCCGTAAAAACTGTAGCGTCATTGGAAAAGCTCTGGATATATTGATAAAATTGATATCAATACGATCACTTTAGATATTTATGACCAGTTACTTCAAACATACACATCGGTCTTGCTTACATTACGGTAGGTTTCGCTAACTTGCGTCTCTGGCAATGAGCTGAGCCATGCTCAGAATGGCACCAGCATCTTCAGCAGTCCTTAAAATGAAACCAAATGTAGCCTAGTGTTTGCTTCTGCCATTTGGTACATCCAGTTTACTTATTCAAAAAGGGAAGTACTACCTCAATGCTTCGTGAGAGATTCAAATTCAGTGACGGGTGGGCCCACCTGTGACTACGTTCGTGTGACCATTGGCGATACAGGTTGCTTCCTCTCTCCACAACTAAATTTAGCCATTAGGCTCAACCGAGCTAGTTTCCGGCGAATTTACTGTTATTTTATTGACCTTTCATGAAAAATAATGTGACTTGAAGCTTATTTGCACCGCTGATAGATATTCAATCCAGCCACCAGGCCGATGAGCCTTTACAGTTGCTACTTTATGTGTACATAGTGTGCTTTGCTACCAAGCGAAGCACTTCGCAATCAAGGGTAAAAGCCTACATGAGGCTTTGATATTTAGGGAAAAACATGGAAAGCTGAACACATCCATGATAGAAGTAAGTAAGAGGTGCTTAGAGCAATGGTGGCAGAAAAGTAGTGATCAAGGACAGAAATAGCGGGAAAATGAGGCCACTCTGCCTCAAGAGACAGATAGATGGAACAGAAATTAACATTTTTTTGTTATAATGAGATGGATTTATTCGAAGCAGACAAGGCATTATGCTAAAATAAAAAAATGGCCCCATTGAGTAGTTTGGGTCGCGTGGTTTGAGTGGTGTGCCATGCACAAAACGCGGCGGACCGTGGCCAGGCAATGCAAATGCGGTGGTGACTGCGCTCACCACTTAGGTTGTCGCAGAAGAGCCCCAAATAAAATGAAGGATAACGACACGGCTTATCGGCCACCATGCCTATGAGGAAAGTGTGATTTATTTTACAAAACCAATTTTTCATCGTACATTCTCAAGGATTTGACGAAACAGTGCTACCGCTTGCCTAAAGTCATCACTGAAAGCTTGCATTCGGGTCGGTTAGTGATGGCCGGCCAGTTGCATATTTGCCTCTCGATGTCGAATATTGTTCCCGGTGCACAGTTCTGGAGGTATGGTCTGGTATGCACGCAGTGATAGTATTTGCTACAATCTGACTCGTGCGGTAACATAGCGCTTTCTTTAGCCCCCTTGCAGATGTTGTCGCTACTCTTTGTTGTTGAAGCTTCCGTAGTCACGAGTGTGGATGACATCAGTAGACGTTTCAGTTGCTGTGTCTTTCAGTAGCTTACCGCTTTCTGACGCAGTGGTTCTATCGTGAGAAGGTACAGTCTCTGTCGTACTCTCAGCCGCTGGGGGTGTTTGCGATGCAGGTAACGTAACGATTGACGTCTGTCTCGCACCCGTCACAAGAGTCATTGTGCCTGTAGGCCCCTCCTCCTTGGACTGTGTCGACGCCTCCGGCAACTTTGTCGGTGTTTGCCTCAGAGGCGCAGCCGTGGTGGATACGAATTTGTCGTTGTCCCCGTTCCACCAGGACGCCGTTGGTGGATTGTAAGGATAGTCTATATCGGCTTTCGCTGCATCGAAGCTGGAGCGAAGGCCTCTGAGGAGGTTAGACTTGCCCGCGCATCGGGAGTTGTAATCGTCCAAGTCCACGCTCCGGACGGCCGCACCTCGGTACTTGCGACCCATCACCATGTTTGCCTGTATGGGAGTGAAAAGATTTGGTTTCAATGAGTGATGAGGGATGAAGTTTGTGTAATCAAATATGCGTTTTCCCGAATGCAAGCGATACCGGTGGCGTTCTTTAACGTAAACTGTTAATTTTCCAGTAGCAGAGTAATGCAAGTAATATTATCGTTTGTTGCGCGAACGCTAGGGTCACCTTCCTGGGTTAGACTCAAGCATAACTTCTGCAGTGAGATTGATAGCTCCTGCACTTTCCTTCTGGGCACTAAGTAATCGATTGATTTATTCTGTGCAAGTTCCTTCGATTACCTCCTCAAGAGTAACAGAATTAGAGATTGCATCATTGTCTGCTTATTACATCTCAACTTGCCGAGCATCCTCATATACTGAACGATGCCAGGATGTTCGCTGAGCATGAAATGTATTCCACTTTTCGTGCCTCGATGAGGGCTGCTTCACGTCCATTTCCGGTTCTCGCGTTCTGGTAGAAGGTATTGACGACCACTGATTTATTGCACTCTGCACGCTTTTATACTATTTCCTTTGTAATATTTCTAGAACTGATGCCATGTTCTCCACTGCCTGGTCTCCATCCTGCGTCCTGCGTACTTTATCATCAAAGACGACCGTAAGTACAGCATACCCTGCTTTTACTTTGCTCATTGCTAATTCCGGGTCTTACAGAAGCGTCAAACAAAGTGGTCATTGTGATGGCGTGTAGGCGCGTGGATATTTACCGCTTTATTTAATATTGTTTGGAAGGAATGCCCCTTTTTGTTTTTTTAGTTATTGAGCAACAGTGACTTACGACGTGTCCGTTATTTAGCCATGTAAAGTCTTCATCTGTCCTCCTAACCTTTTTGAGCCTCACAACATAAATCTCATGGAACACCTTCTAGTTCGTCGAACAGCACTGCTACACTCGCCTCTCTCGGCACCGTTCAGGCCTCATCTCTGCAACTTTAAGATTACAATACCGCCCTGCTCGAGCCCAGAGATTCTTAGAAACCTCCACTTCGTCACAGATCTGACCGCCACCATGGCGAGTTACTCCGCAGCCGCTGAACTGAGGGACGGTGACACAAGTACAATATTTCACACCGTACCACGTATCGTCTGCTTTGCCCCCTACGATAATGCATTGTCCTGTTTTCAGCAATACCTATGCCCACGTCAGCTACTAGACTTGCTGAATTACGGGGAAATAAGATATGTGTGCTTGCCTGCCAATGTGAAGATTCATAATATCTATTCGAACATGACCGAGGTATTGCGACGCTACGACTTGCTTGCTTTCACTTAAGTTTTGATCTGGTTCGACATGCAACATTTCACAATCTTCACGTCAAGCAAGCGCATGGCTGGAGATCGCATTCCTTATCACTCAGTATTCCTGATTTCGAGTGTGCACACGTGAAGTCGAAAGCGCAGCTGTGCTTCTGATGTTCCGCAAGGCGCCTTCTTCAGATAAGAAATTTATTTACATAGCTTTGTTGCCGCCTAACAAATACTTCACTGTGTCTTCACTGAGCGTGCACTTACGCTTACATACAAAGAGGCCCGAAGAACTCATGAAATATTTCGCAACTTCGCAGATTGAGAAACTCTGTGAGCATGAGTGATGTGACAATAGTTACTGTGGGAACAATATCTCAGAAAGGTATTTGTCACAAACACACTAGTTCAGCGAGCTCAAAACTCTGTTCACGCTGCTCGTTTTCCGTGACGGGAGCTTACGAAATGAAAGTAGAAACGCGAAAATAGGTGACACACGAATATGCTCAACCTTTTTGAGGACGCTCTCATCATCTTCATAGGCCACGTATTCTTCGTCCTTCCTTAGGAACGGGCAGGAGTCCTGATCAGAACGTCCTTTCTGCCAACCGATTTGAAGCTGGTGGCACACCTGGAGCACGCGTGAGTATGAAAGGTAAAAACAAGTGCGTCAGGTTGTGCTGCTTAGAACACGCATGTTACCTTAAAAAGGAAAATTGTTCACGCTAATTGTTACTATTTGCACTACTCAATTCTTCGGATTTTACGTCCCAAAGAGAGAGAGAGGTAGTGGAGAGCTCCGGAAATTTTTACCGCAACGTTATGTTGTTATGTCTTGGTGTTTTGTGCTCACCTCATAGGATGCAAGGAATCCTTGAAGATCCGTGTAGTTTCCAGAGATTCCCGGGAATACGGTGTGAACGCCGGTGGCTGAGGCCATCGCGGTGTATGTTCTCGCGAACAGGGGAACCTCGAGCACTATCCTCTGGCGTGGGGCCCCTTTCCTTACTATGAGCTCCGCTCTGTCAATCTGGAAGAGAAATATCACTGAACCAGGTAAGACGAGTTTCTATTCAATGCACACAGAAATCAACGTGTAAGTGTACTTGTGGAATTACACAGACGCAATAGCGTAGAAGTCCTCAGCCCGAGCAAGAGGAGGTCTATGTAGTACGCTGTAAGCAAAAAAAGATGTGCTTTGATTCTTTCTTGCTGCTCATGTGAGTCACTGATGTATAACTGTCTGTACAGAGGCAGGCTGACACTCTTCAGGAGAGTAGTCGGATGTATAATTTTAAAGTGGTTTGGTATCTCTCGTTCAGAAAGTCGTTGTCCCACAACTTTTCTAAAGACAATCAACGTGAATCTCCAAAGAGAGTCTCGTTGGAGTGTCGTGTACGTGAGAAAATCGCGTGTGTAGCGAAGAGGATTCAAATGACATTGATTTTCAATTTTTCAAAATCAATGCACCATTGCTAGGGACACAGCATCGCGGTCGGAGAGTGCGGAAATATCGATGCGAATGCTACGCCAGCTGAGATTTTGTTGAATGACGGATCACTCACTCCACGACAGCTGTTGTGGTGTTCGCTATGTAGGTCCCTGTCACTAAAGTTGTCTAGTGAGTTTGTCTTAAGTGGCGATGCCGTAACCACATGGAATACACACATTTTCTCTTACATAGACGAAGCAAGGTAACCAAAGGCCATTACTGATTGCGTCATGAGTTAGGCGCTAACTTGATGAAAATACGCGTGCACTCGCAGCACGTCTGGCTATCAGAGGAAGTGTTCCCAAATGGGACAAGGCGAAGAAAGCGAGATATGCAATTTATACTTGCATCGGTCATGTCAATTGTCCTTGTAACGTTGAGCAAGGCACCTTTTGGAAATTCGAGGCAGTCGCTAGATTTCACCAAGAAAAAGTTGACTTCCCTAAAAAGAACGAATGAGCGAAGCAAACACAGAAGTGAGTTCATGGTCATCGAGGACACTGGTGCCAGTTCACGGTAGAGATAATATAAAAATAGGCTAATACTATTTGATTAATTCGTGGGGTTTAACGACCCAAAACCACCATATGATTATGAGAAACACCGTAGTGGAGGGCTCCGGGAATTATGACCACCTGGGGTTTTTTAACGTGCACGCAAATCAGAGTACACCAGCCTACGCCATTTCCGCCTCCATCGGAAATGCAGCCGCCAAAGCCGGGATTTGATCCCGTCACCTGCGGGTCAGCAGCCGAGTACCTTAGCCACTAGACCACCGTGGTGGGGCTAGCCTAATACTACTTAAACTATTAAATTATTTAATAGTATTCTTAACGTTAATAATGTTTTAGCCTAATACTATTTAGAACATTATTAAAGTTAAGAATGCAGGTATGTAGACTGCTCAGTGAACAATTATTCGGAAATGTGAGTTCAGAATAACGTCAAAGAGCAACAGCAAAACAAAGGTTCGCGAAAGGATGGAGTCCAATCTGCGAAATCAGTGTAATTTGCGTGATATAAATCGAAGTATTGTGAAAGGAAACTGTTAGTATTAAAAATGAAAGAAAGTGTTTGACAAGCTTCATGCAGTGCCTTCAGAAAAAGTTTCAAAAATAGAGGGTAATAGATCAGTGCCAGTTATCCTCTTGAATAACCACGAAAGGAATTTCAAGGGGGTGGCTGCTGTGGCAGCCATCTCTCGTACGTAAAGATACATGATTCAAGAAAGCAAACAGTGAGAATAGCCAGGCCATCACTGCTTTCTTTGTGTTAGGTTGATGTGCTGAATGTTGGTATGAAAGAATTACATATAATAATGTTCAAATGATCATGAACCTTATCTTCGTGAAGACCTTCATTACTTTTGTCACCACTTGATTGAGAGGTAGCACTAGTTGTAACTTCTACACTTAGTCGTATTTGATTTTGCAGATTGTTCAACTCGCTAAGTGAGCTTTAAATTAACCTCATCTTGCGAGAAACTTTGTGGTGCACTGCGAGTGTCCTTGGGAATTTTCAAGGGCGAATACAACGAAGAAAAAAAGCCGTAAAATAGAGTTTAGGTGGCCCACAGGTTTTTATTGTCTTACTTTTGCCATTATGAGGATTTCTGTGTTGCCTAATATTTGTTTAAATTCCTTGATACTCACTTGGTAAGGCTCTCTATGTCGAACAGATGATGTGTTGTACTGTCGAAAGCTGGCAGCGTCAAGGTGATACTCCACATTTTTTTGTGCTCTCTCAGGTCATAGTTGATTTGCTGCATGTCAGAAAAAAACACACATGAGCCCGAGGTGTCACATGGCCATCTTTCGAAACGTTAGCTGATCAGACTTCCTCTACCGGCTCTAAATATTAGTAACCTGTTTTGAGACAACATGGTTTGTAAAGTAAGGAAGATAATGCTGCCTTCAAAACCTTATTTGCAACTGCTGTGTAATGCATTCAGGCTGTCAATAGGTTATCGGTAATTTTTTTTAATACCAAAAGAATCAAAACAAGGTGAATCATCTGTGGTGCTCGAAATCGACTATCAGAGATTTGAAATTCCACGTGAACTCACATCTCTGTTCTACAGAAGAAGCGGTAGCTACAGAACAATAATGCTAACTTCGAGAAAACGTCTGGAGTGGAACCGCATCGTAGGCCTGATCAAAACACACTAGCCACCTGGGCCCTTCCAATTAAGCTAGGTGGTTTTAACAAGCGTTGGTTCCTTGGCCTCTTCTGCTCTCTGCTTATCTCTTAAAGGTCAAAATTTTCTGAGGGGTGCCTTAATCTGAACAAGTTGGTGCAACAATCACGAAGTTAACCAGCACAAAAGGCTGAACGAAAGACACAAGCGGGCACAGGACCCGTTGTACATGTGTCTTTCGTCCCGTCTTCCGTGCTATTTCACTGCAGACATTTACGAGGGGCTGCTCATTTAGTTGCTTGACACAACCAACAAAATAAAAGTGGCTAATACTCTAAGGAAAACGTAGAGAACATTAGCTTTGTTTTCGTACACTACAATGTTCTAATCATGGCTTCAATTGAAAATAGTCAAAGCAGATGAAAAACAACTCTGGCTGTGGCATCCGAACCCACAACCTTCAAATTAAACTTCCACCCTAGCTTCATTGGTGCTTATTAAAACGTTTATTCGGAAGTGTCCGGCATTTCATGCTACTGAAAAAAAGGGTTATTTATTATTAGATGCGGAAGCATCTTATACTCGCGCCTTGTAGTGCGCCGTCCGCGCCGTCCGCACCGCTTCTCGAACATTCGACAGCTGACGCGCGCGCATGCGCCGTCGCGCCGTCGCCCACTCTTCCACCATCTGTGCATCCCTTCCTCCTCTACACACCGCTCGTGCTTCACTCCTCCACCATCTGTGCACCCTTCCTCCTCTACACACCGCGTTCGATATCTACAATTCTCCTGATTCTCCAGTGGACGCGCATGTGGCGTCGCGCTTCGAGAACATTCAACAGCTGACAGTGCATGCGCCGTCGAGCTGTATATATACTCAAGGTCGGCGCTCGCTCGCTCAGTTGCCGCTCGTCGGTTGGTTTGTACGGCGCGTCGACGTCCAAGGTCGCGGTGAAATGAATTCCAACGAATCCACAAACACAATGATCGACGTCCCTTCGACCAGCGCCGCCCTTTCGCATACGTGTGTACGTGTTCACTCATTTAACACCCCCTCCTACAACCATGTTAACCAATTTAGCCATCGACCCAAGTAAGTCGCAATTTAACACCCCATTTCACAACCACGTTAACCAATTTAGCCATCGACCCAAGTAAGTCGCACTTTAACACCCCGTTAACCAATTATATGCTCCGCATCCTCCTCAGTGTTCCCCCGAGGGAAGCTGCGGGCAATTTTTTCACTTTGTTTCTTTTCAATTCACGTGGTAAATGCTACCAAAAGTTAACTGATGTCTCTTATGCTTTTTTAAGCTTAAACGTCTGGTGAGTACCCTTAGTTGCGTCTGGTCCCTTAAAATACGCGTGTCTCATAAAGCGGAACTCTTTTATGCCGGGTCCACCAAGATTTTAAGAACGTACTCACGTTACGGATATCACGTTCTTAAATTAACGCCACCACATGAGAAAGTTAAAATGTCCAAGAAAGAGTTCCCTCGCCGGGCGTCGAAGTTCTGACTCCTTGGGACACAATGAAAGGTGCCCGGTTATTTACCGACTGAGCTATTTTTTTGCTTCTTTGCCTCTTCGTGGGCAAGTCGTACACCTACCGACAAGCATAACAAAAACAAGTAGTGACAGTCGTATACTAGAGGCACATGGCAGTTGCTGGGTTCCGTACAATTGGGATTTATTCCTAGCACAAATTCTCTCTCGATCCATGCTCTCTGTCGGCAAAGTAGGGTGGTACCACCGTCTGTGACTGCTCAGGAGAAGTAATGCGGCATGATTATAACTCCTAAATAATCACATAGGTCATCACTAATGATTTCTTCTCACAGCCATCGTCATTGCGAACAAGAGACCAATAGCGGCATCGTAACTAAACTGTGTTCGGTTTCTCTGATTGGCTTGGTGTGATGCAGTTGCCTTGAACGTTGCCTTTGCCCTGCAGTGAACGCAGTCAGGCTGATGATGATGACAATGTAAGAAGATGTCGGCGTGACTCAACGCTGCACTCAATTTAATAGAAATGCTCCCTCACCCTAACAAATGGATGAATGAACTTTGCTTTTTCCCAAGTGCGGACGTTGTCCTGAAGCGACGTTGTGCCGGAAAAGAAGTCCAGAACGACGCCATCGAAGTCGTACGTTCTCAACCACTGTGCCAGACTTTCTGTCATGTCCTTCCAGTAGTAAACCACTGGAATAAACTGCCAGTACTTTTCTTGCGGGTCGTGAGGGCCACCCACGGCCAGCAAAATCTTTAGATTCGGATTGCGCTTTTTGAGTTTCGTCATCTGTTCGAAGACTTCTATAAAAAGGCAGAGAAGAAAAAGCCTTCGTTGAAAGGAAGGGCCAATAAAGAAAGTCGTACGACTGATGTGTAAAGCATGCGATTGACTTACTATTTGGAGGCAGCAGCCATATCGGGTTGTAGAGCCAGGAATTGGCATAAGATTTCGCTTCTGAGTCTGAATAAAAGCAAAGAAAATGAAGTTATCGAAAATGTCCGCCCATGTTCATTGTAATTGAATGGTTGTTTGAATGACATTGAATATGTATGCAGAAGAAGAAATGGCCAACTGTCTTATTCGTTTCGACTGAGCTTCTTTTTCATAATATAGTTCATTTTAAGCACTTTAACTGCTGTCACATTTCGTAATTTGTGCGCTTGCTCCTTTTTGTTACAGCAAGTTCACCTTAAATAAGGTTGTCGCCTATCATCGCTTCTACGAATCCAATGTTGTACATGCATGTGCTAGCGCTTCGTTTTTGCGATATCAATTTTGTGAGTACTCCTCATAAATTTTTAGTGTTGCCATCAGCGACGCCGTGAGTCTCCATGTAAAATCTGTAAAGAAGATGATATGGTCCCTTGCGTCCCCTGGACATGCAAGTGAATGCTCGCCAGGGAATTCGACAAGCACGGTCTAAGAGAAGATGATATGCGCACGTGTTTTTCATGAGTAATTGCTATCACAGCAATATATGTGTTTTTGCTTTGTCAGTTGACTCCTTAAAGCTTTTATAAGCAACGCTAACTGTGCCACTGCTTTCTGAAACCTTGAATTGGTTTTTGAATAACAGGCGTTCACGTATGAGAAATCACTGAAAAACTAGAAAGTCACGTGTACCGAGCTCCAGCTCCTTATCAGTCAGCCTAATCGAGTGACTCGCTTCGTCAATGGTCACGTGAGAGTAGACGACGGCGCTGCAGAGTTCGGCGGGAATATCACTGACGCTTGACTTGTATGGTCTGGATCGGAAACGGGAGAAGCCATCCCAGAAGCAGAACGTGTAGTAGTTCGGCTTCTGCGCAGTTGCTGCAGCTGAAAACAACAGAGCTTGTTATCTCGACTGCGTGGCGTGAACTGTTTGAATGAAGTGGCAGTGTTGTGTTTTCAACATTTACAGGCCAGTCGAGCAGTAAGTACTCTGGCGTTGAGAAGGGGCAGGGCCGTATGCAGAATATAGCCCAATAGCACAAGGAAACAAAGTGAACGTTTTATAGTATACAAGGTCATAGAAGAAATTTTTTTTTGGTGGGCTTGTTTCGTCGTCAGAATGAACCGTATTATTCCACCAGACAAGCCATGAAAGAAGAGGGGACACAAGATTATCTACTAACTGTAGTGCAGCTAAACTGAAATGAATCATTATGAACGAAATGTCACCCTTTAGGTTGGAGGAATCCAAGCTCGCAGCTTCCGAATCCCGAATAGAAAGGCGCGACTAGTTAAGCTACGGTGCAACGAACTTGCCGATCTAATATGTAGGATATTTTTGTGTGCGTACACCCTGGGAGTTATAGCCAATGCAAGGGTGGTGAGTGATCCGCACTCGCCGCTCTTGCTACGAATGTCTTCGAGCCATCTCTGGCTCAAAGGCTCTCTCATTGAACCAAGAAACAAGGTGACGCCACTCTACTAATTACCTCGAATACTTGGATATATAAACTTGCAGTAAATGCTGAAAATGCTGGAATAGGTTTGAACGTAATTGGAAAGAAGTGTCTGCAGATGCAACAGGCTACAGAGGAATGCAAGTTACACCTATGATCTTCATTTTGAAAAACAAATATTCCATGCCGCGTGCTTGGCTATATCTCTTATAGTAGAGAGAGAGAGAGAGAGAGAGAGATAAAGATGCAAGGAAAGGCAGGGAGGTGAACCCTCTTATAGGTAAATAGCTGTTAAAAGATAGCTGCTAATCGAAATATGTAAAATATGAGCGTCTTTCCTGTCAAGTGCTCCCTTCCTTCTACCTTGCGTGCTAATATGCAAGTATTTCTACATTATGCCACTAGAAAAACACGTATTTGCTAAAATTAGGAATTTCTTATTTCTACTTGCTCGGTTTAGTTGCAAGGAACCTTAAAAAATGAAGGTTGGTATGAAACTAGAAGTACGTTAAAGTCACTTTTACTGCGCCCAAGTGGCTCTTAAAACTAAACAGAGCTCATTTTCTGAAGTTCACTGGAAATCGTCACACGCGGCTGCTTGCTATTGCATTTATCATGAGCAGTTTACCAAATCCACATGTTCAATATACTCATGATTCTCAACCTCTTGTAATAGAAAAAATAACGTTAAAAAGTACATGCTCACCACATAGATGAGCCTACATTTCTACGTTTATACTAAATTTTCTTTAAATGCATTATAGGACGACTTGTTGAGTTAGGGCATGATTGTTTTGGTGCTTCGGATTGAATATCAGGACAAAAGGTTCCTCATAGTTCGTAGCATAGGAAGAGTGCAAATTGTTTCTTTGAAAACTGGTATCGTCCATATAGTTATTATAAAATATAAGCACGCAGTATGGAGTGACAATTTTAAGACTTCTCACATTACGAGCTTTATCATTCATTACAGTATATTACACACGATCTCATGGTTGTTATTTTAATTATACAGCTAATGGTGAAGCGATATGAGCCATAAACGACTTATAACATTAGCACTCTAGTGGCAGGAAAACGTTCGGATGAAAATACCTTAATTTTACATAATGTCGTAGTACGAAATGAAAACAATTTAACTAACTATAAAACTGATGACAAATTCCAAATGAACTTAAAAACCTATGTACCCAGCGAAAATTAAATTTTTTAGGTTATAAATGAAAGAAACTTTTTTTCAATTAGCATTTTCTTTTAAGAGCTGAAAAAGCAGCTTCGTCGCGTGAACACAATCTCCGGGATGGCAATAGCAGAGCATATGAGCTCTAATTGAAGCGAAGAAAAATAATGAGCCGAAGTGAAACCTACCACAAATAAAGACGAAAGCGTATACGACCAGACGTAATCTCCAAACCATGGCTGAAGTGCTGAAACAAAAAGAAACAAAGAAAGGAATGGGCTACGTACACTGTAAACCAGTCTACATCCTTATGCGTGCTTTGCATGTCGATAACGAACACCCTATGATTATGGGTATTTCGACAAACCAATCACTCTGATCGTGGAGTGTTGTATACACGGAAAGCACCCTGAAGGGTGCAAATCGGTTTATGCTGTAAACACAAAATACAGCTTGTTATCTCGACATCTCTCATGTAGATGAAAACTAAAGTGTTTACCTGAAGTCAACGCTCATTTGAAGGAAATCACGAGTACCTTTCTGTGAAACTGCCAGGCATTCGTTTTAAATCAGTTCTACATGTAACATCATCTATGGACAGTTTGATGAGCGTAGGTGAAAAATGAAGTTAATAATACAAGGACATAATGCGCTTTGTATATGCGATTTCACGGAACGCAGGCTCCCCGTTGAAGGTGGTGCGCCTGCGAAACAATGTTATCAACCGTTCGAATTGGAGCGGGTAAAAGGCTCGCTGATAAAATGACACTTCGAGATAATGAACTTCCGGTGGAGGAAGTGCTTGTGTTGCGTTGGTGTTTCAATAGCCGCTCTTATCGTTAGATAAGGGGGCCAGCCGCATTCCACAACAGTTCTGTGAAAAAACAGACTCTCTCGATAATAATGCTGCAACCATCGCTCCGCAATATTTGTACACTGAAACAATGACAAAATGAAGTTTTATCGCATAGGTCTCGGCCTTACTGTCGCATCGTGGGAGTAGCCTGCCGTGTGCTAGGGCGCACGCCTTCGGGCTTTCACAATAAAGTTTTCCCGAACCATACCAATAGCCTTGAAGGGTAGCTGATGCTAAAAAATGTAGTTCGCCACGAACACCAACTCGGTAAAATTTATTGTTTGAACTAGGCTAGCTGCACTTTGCAGTGATGCTGGGTTGGCTTACTTATTGGGCTTAACGTTTCAAAACAGCTGGACTTTGGGAAATGCCGTATCGGAGGGCTTTAATTATAAATAAATAAATAAATAAATAAATAATAAGAAAACATTCGAATGGGTTGCTATCGCATTATTGCTTCACCCTTTTGGCGAAACTCAGATTTCAAACACGATATATATATATATATATATATATATATATATATATATATATATATATATATATATATATATATATATATATATATATATATATAAAGACTAGACCAGCGGCGGGGCGCTGCTCACGGCAAGTTATTTTTCACCCACATTTTTTTCTTATTTACATTACATTGGTTCTAATAACTTCCCCCAGCCCCGCCGCGGTGGTCTAGTGGCTAAGGTACTCGGCTGCTGACCCGCAGGTCGCGGGTTCGATTCCTGGCTGCGGCGGCTGCATTTCCGATGGAGGCGGAAATGTTGTAGGCCCGTGTGCTCAGATTTGGGCGCACGTTAAAGAACCCCAGGTGGTCAAAATTTCTGGAGCCCTCCACTACGGCGTCTCTCATAATCATATAGTGGTTTTGGGACGTTAAACCCCACAAATCAATCAATCATCAATAACTTCCCCCATACATTCCTTGGCATTATTGTCTGTTAGATCTCAATAATATTGTTTCAGAACACGGAAAAACGAGCCCTATATATATATATATATATATATATATATATATATATATATATATATATATATATATATATATATATATATATATATATATATATATATATATATATATAGATATATATATATATAGGCACAACACACCCGACAGCGAGACAGGCACCTTTCTACTACAGAAGATACTTATGCGATAGTTTTATGATATGGAACCATGATGAGGGAAGTCTTTTCCGCTTCATAGAGGATTTTAACAAGTGCCACCCGTCAATAAAATTCACGCACAAAATTTCCGAAACTAGCATTCACTTTTTGGACGCCACTGTCACGGTCAAAAATGACCGCTTGTCAACAAACCTTTACAAAAAGCCTACAGAACGTCAAATGTACCTACATTTCAACAGCAGCCACCCAAAGCATTGCAAAACGGGTATTCCGTATTCTCAGGCCTACCGGTACCGAAGAATATGCACCGATATGCGGGAATTTGACAGACACGCGGAACGCGTAAAGCATTCCTTATGGAAACAAAATTATCTGGAAGACATTATTGACGATGCCATACTACGTGCTCGCAACGTGAACAGGAATGATATAATTAAGGGACCCAATAGAGTATCTAAAATGACTTCCCAAACGAACCTTGTACTAACTTACTCCTCATCAGCGCCAGGAATCAACAACATACTTTCCCGCCATTTCAACGTAATCAGGCAAAGCAAACGACTAACTTCTATTTTCGCGAAGCCACCTCACGTGGTGTACCGCCGGGATAAAAATCTGAAGGACATTCTTGTCAGAGCAAAAACAAACACCCCCGAATTTCAATCAAGGTGCCATCCTTGCGGAAAAGTTCGATGCAAGGTATGCCCACAGATGGTCACAAGACGTGAATCCAAAGCGAACTTCTCGGATTTCAAATTCTGCATAACTGAAAGCCTTAATTGTGACTCCAGTAACGTAATATACATGCTACATTACAACATCTGCGGACAAGAATATATCGGCCAAACAGACACACCATTTCGGCTGCGGTTCAATAATCACCGGTACCACGCCACTTCACTGCCGAAGCTACCTTTATCTAGACATCTGCGCCTGCCAAACCACAGTTTTGAAAATATCAGTGTAACTCTTTTGCAGTCCGGTTTCTCAAACAGACGTGAGCGCGAACAGCGTGAGGATTATTTTATTTTCGAATTTCCAACATTAGTAGCCGGCATCAACGAGCACCCTGGAAAACTCAACTGCCTCCGAGAAGTAAGCCAGGAGGAAATTGGTGACAAAGATTGATAGCTGGAGACCATGCTTTTTACTGACTGACTCGTACGTGTACACTGTCCTTTCTTGTTTTTTTGTTTTTGTTTTTTTTTCTCCTTTTTTTCTTCCTTTTTTTCTT